GCTGAAGTCAATGCTCTAGCAAAAAAATGGATATACTGCTTTACATCTAGCTATATCAAAAGGACGTCGGCTAATCATCGATTTCCTGTTAGAGCATGCCGATGTTAATATTGAAAACAATAAATCGAACAAAAAAATTAAAAATAAATATAGTTTAAAAAAACTAAAAAACACGCTTTTAAAGCATATCAAAGTAAAAAATAATTCTTAATATAAGTTGAAAATAATAATGAACAAAAAATACTAGTATTATTGTTAAAAAGTGTGGGTTGTTCGATAGACGAAAAATATGGCAAAGAGCGTCCACGCTTTTTCACAATAATACTAGTATTTTTTGTTCATTATTATTTTCAACTTATATTAAGAATTTGTATTTTATTTTTTAGTTTTATATGCTTTAAAAGCGTGTTTTTTAGTTTTTTTTAAACTATATTTATTCCCGGTATCGCTCAATTGTCGCGCGCGTTGCCATTGGCTTTGTAGCTTTGTATGCCTCGTATTTTTTTGCAGCAGTTGTTTCTGCGCGGTTGGTAATAGCCAACAACCTCGATGTGATTGGGATATGGACTGCTCATTTATGTCCAGGCGATGAGCAGTTGCTTGATTAAGCTGGGTTGATAGTTGATTTCTAAATATTTTGCCTGTCCGTTGTGACTGCAGCTTTGCGACCTTAGCTGCAACAAGGTAGTGATCCGATTAAAGGTTGGCACCTCGGATAGAGCGCACATCAAAAACGCTGGAAGAGAATCTTCCGTATATCACGACTTCATAAATTTGGTTCTTAGTTCTTTGATCAGGGGACACCCATGTGGCTTTGTGGGTATTTCGATGCTGGTACTACTAACTATCATGTTCCGTGGCGCGGCCAAGTCGATCAGCCTCTTTCCGATGTCGGAGCTGCTGTCATGAAGGCGGGATATTCCGACTGTTGGATCAATATGCCTTCTTTTCCCATCCTGACGTTAAAGTCACCAAGCACGATTTTAATATCGTAGCTTATCCTAGACACTCATATAAAAACTCCTTAGCATCATAGTCCTTCTTTTCCGTCGGGGCGTGCACACAAATTAAGGTGATGTTTGTATTCGCTCGCTGATAGGGTGAACCTGGAGACAAAATGTCGTATTCTCCGCCAAAAACACCAATCCTAAAATTTTTTTGCAGCCATGCTCCGTATATGGCATTTCCTGAACTGCGGTGATGATAGCCTGGTATTTTGTGATGACTTACAGCAGTTGGATAGAGGCACCTTCCCTATAATCGTGGTCTTTGTTTCATTTGAAAGGGTTGTCAACGTTACGGGGCAATAGGCTTTTTCGGTCTTTGCATTGGAATCTGTTTTAAGTGGCGGGTCCCAAGCCCAGCGCACAACCCATTACTGGAAAGCGTGGTTTCTCCACCGGATACACGTTTATATAGCGAGCCTGCTTGCAGCCGTACCTCATTGCGAACAGACGTTGCTAAGTCGAAGTAGCCCCACAGAAGCTCCCTCTCTTTCTGCCGTGACCCAAGGCTCCACTCGGATTGGTTTACCGCATCTCGGATATGGGTTGCTCACGTTGCCCAGAGTGCGCGTATGAGGACGTAAGAGTCGGGATTGAGTATAGTCGTCTAGATGTATACCCCCCACACTAATTCGCAACTAGTAGCTTTTAATGCAGGGTACCAATGCAAGTACATATATATGTTTTAAAGTGTAAATACTAAAGAGATTTTCCTGTTAGCCTTTCTTTGCAACCATTTTGCCCAATCGTATGACTTCAGCCTTAATAAAATACTTAGTGAGAAATTCGCAGAAAGTATTTGACAATTTACCTGAGAGTTTAATGAAAAAAGGACCACGTCCTACAAAGCAAATCCTACAAGTGGTTGATCCTTAAAAATATCAAGATATAAATTTCGTATGGTGCACCCCTTATTTTGTTTTACATAAGAACAAAATAATGACAACCATGAAAATTTGAAAAAAATAAAGTTTGTAAATAGCAAAAATTTACAAAATTTACAAATTTGGTTCGATTAAAACAAGTGTTATGTCATTTGATTTTCTATCTAGCGAAGTACGGATTGGTATTGCGCGGACTTGTCAGTTCAGTCATGAATGAAAAAATACCCCGAGAACCCCAAAAATCCCAAAAAATGGTCCAAAGAAAAAAAAATGCGTTTGAGCTCAGGAAGTCCATACTAACTCTACCCTATCCACGAGTTTCTTGGAATTTATTGTTTCAAGATAATTGTTTGTACACCAGTGTTATAGAGTTTAGAAAATTTTTGAAAAATAAGGCAAGACTTAGACTTGACTTGCCGTACGTAGAAACTAAGACTCGATTACTCAGCGTGTCACCTATTGCCTTTTCTCTTTGTTTTGATTCTCAGAACATGTATATGTACACGTAAATTTGAAACATTTAGATTGTTTTTACACTTAAATTGCCACAAAGTTACTATTAAAACAAGTAAGAAAGTCTAAGTTCGGGTGGAGCCGCACATTAAATACCCGGCGCAAGTATTAAATATATGTTGTTTCACCTTTCCGAAAGCTACCGCTAGATGGTAAGCCGGGGTGTATCAATTTTAAGTAAACTAGCGTCCTTAAGTTTCGAAATATTGCAGTTTCAAGCATTTCTGAAATTTACCGTTATATAAAAAGCGGCCGTAATTTTAGTCAGATTTCAATAATTTTCAACATTTTGCTTTTATGTGGCAAGCGCAATAAACATACCGAGTTTGGTACAAATTGGTAGAACGGTTACCGACATACATATATGTGATCATAAGTGGGCGGTGCCACGCCCATTTTCCAAAATTTTACCATAAACGTATTTCTTGGTAAAGAATTGTTGCAAGCATCAATTTTGAATAAATAAGCTTTAATATTTACTGATTTATCGAAGATGTGGGCGTGGTTATTGTCCGATTTTTTAAATTTTCTACCATTTCAAATGTTATACCAATGCCAACAATTGTGCCAAGTTTGGAAGAAATTGGTGCAGCGGTTACCAAGATATACACATGTAACCATAAGTGGGCGTGGCTACGCCCATTTTCCAAAAATTTATAATATTCTTATTTTTCGTCTAAAAATTATTGTAAATATCAATTTTGAGTGAATTATCTTCAGTAGTTACTAAAATATCGCAGTTTTCGTATTTCTGGAAATTACCGTTATATGGGAAGTGGGCGTGGTTACAGTCTGATTTCGCCCATTTTCAATACCAACCTACCTTGGATTAATGGAAACCTACGTGCCAAATTTCGATGAGATATCTCAATTTTTGCTCGAGTTATCGTGTACCCGGACGGACGGACAGACGGACAGACGGACGGGCAGACAGACATGGCTTAATCGACTTCTCTGTTCATTCTGAGCATTTATGTATACATTTGTCTATATCTATATCTATCTCGATTCGTTTTGGCTATTACAAACAATCGTTATGTGCACAACTGCGCTCGGGTATAATAAAAGTATTTACGCGATTGAAATTGTGATTTTTTTAATTTGATTTTCTGCCTGTATTTGAAAATTTGTTTTTTCGATTGCCAGATAAATTACATTTATACAAAAAATTATATTTGTGTGACATATTTGTAGGGATTTTATGAAAAAAAAAAACATGAAATGGCAGCATGATCCTCTCATGGCTCTGTTTGCATTTAGAAATTTAACTGGGAAATCAAGTTTAAGACTTGCATAACTGAGCATTTAGTATTGCTTGATGAATTGGTGATGACTATGATATGAATTTACATACATATATATGTACATATTTGTATAATGAACAAAATATCAAGTTATCAGATTTATTAGATGGTAGCGTATTGTAAACATTATTTTAAAATTTTGAAATTTTCGTGGATGCCTTTATTTCGTAATTAGACCAAAATAAAATGCCGCCACATACATAACCTAGACGTTGATCTTTAGGGATCGCCCTAATGCACATGACTAGATATATACAAATGTAGCACTTAGTGAGGGTGTATACGCGGCTGTTCAAAACCAAAAGCGGAATATTGAAATTAAGACGCCTTTGTCTAGCTCAAGTGGCTGGCAGCGTTAATTGAGGATTTTTATTTGGAAATTCCCAAACGATCGTTGATGCAAGGTGCTTGCGAGCCTGGAAAAGGTGACAGTGAAAAAATAAACAAAGGCTGGAGATGTTTATGCAGCAGTGCGTCACACAGTACGTGTGCGAGTAATTGTGAGAAGGACTGCCAGATTGTCTACGCGCACGATCTGCTAGCCACGTACCTGAGACATACAAATGTACATATAGAAAAGTATGCATGTGTATGCGGTTGCAGGTGAATCGTTTGGTTGATGTGTATACGATTTGAGCAGCAGGTAGGTAGAAACGTCTGAGCTGCTATTAAAGTGGTTGAAAGTGATTGCGCAGAGTATCCAAAGACATAACAATTCTCGGTACTGGAAAGGTTTATAAAAAAACTTCCGAAAAAAGAACGATGGTTCGACTTTTTTGTTTCGATACGCGAGACAAGCGGAAATGGAGCCGTTTTAAGCGTTATGGGTCAACTAAAACACATTGATTATGCGGCTTCCAACCGATCGGTAGACAGGCCCCTATTTGTGTTTAATTGAAATTTATAGCCGTACGCCAGCCTGTCTATTTAAACCAATAACTCGATATTTTTTATATGGCAAATATTGTAGGAACGTAGCCGAAGTAGAGTAAATTTATGCGCAGTTTACATGAAGTATGTACATAGGTGCATACATACATGCATAGATATGTACATAAGCATGTGCAAGCCATTGTTGTAGGCTGGAAGGCACGTGACCATATTGCTACCAACTTAAGCTACAATAACTGCGGTTTGAATGCGCAACAGGCAGCAGATGCGCGAAAAGATAAGTTTAACGACTATCCCAAAGCATAAAAAAATACTTTTCAACATCGTCTGTTACACAGACTCAGGGATATGTATGTGTATACACATGGAAGGTGAACCCTTTTTTTACTTCCTTTTTGACTTACCTCCGAAATGCCAAGCTCTGTAGTCGCTGGCGCGGTATCCCGCTTGTATCGTCGCCTTTCATTGCGTTCTTTTGCTCGCGTTCCGCTTTAAGCTTTGCCGCCGAAAGCGCCGGCTCCACAATAATATTGCGTTCGTAGAAAAAATTCCCGCCATCGTCGTTGCTGATACTTTTCGTGTTCGATTGTATTTTCGACAAGGCGGCGCTGTCGAAGAGGAAGGCCGGCCGATTTGCGTTGGCGCGGCTCCACACGTTTTTCGCCTCCTCGTCGCCAGCTGCAATGGCGGCAGCCGCCTCCGCCTGTACGGCGGCAATGTCGAGTAGATGTTTTAGATGCGTCGGTTCAATGGCGCCATGCTTGCCTTTGGTTTCTGGCGCCTAAAAAGTGGTAGAGTGGAACACAATAAGTAATGAAGGTAAAAAATCGAATGTTTGAAAAGGTTGTTACTTACATACTATACATGCACATACTACATACATATAGTATTTGTAAGATGTATGTAGTAAACTTTACTTACGATTTGTGTATCGATTTCAATAAACTGTTCTGGTTGCTCAACGATATCGAAATAACCCTCTGACTCCACTTGCAAACCATCGACGAGGAGTAATTTACGCGCAAGTGCACTTTTTTGTTGACGCGTCAAGGAGCGCTGGTTGTGCTTGCGCTGTTCAGTTAGTGCGTGTTTAGCGGCACTAGGCGCTACCGTTATTGGTAGTAGAAACAGCAATAATAAGCACTGTCTTATATGCAACACAGCCATTTTGATGCACAAATTTTAATAAATTTGTTTCCTTCGCTACACAAAAATAGTATCCCAGTTTAATTTTTTTATTATTATTTGGTTCACTTTGCATTCAATTCCTTATTTAATTAAATTATTTTATGATCAATTATATCACTAATCCAATCGTAATGTAATTCACACGCGCTTGCGCAGGACTACGTCGTTAAACGCATGGAATTCAGTACCGCACCGCACAGAAAAGAATCTCTTACTGAGCATATTTAGGGACCTGCGACCAAATTTAACTGCAAGTATGTGTATTCTGCCTCGCCAGATTCATAGCTATATACATACATTTGTGTGCATATACATACATACATACACATGTTTACGGTATGTCTGTTTAAAATAACATCATAGGTACCAAATATTCTGAAAGCAAGAAAAGATTAAGAGTCGGAGGAATCGTCAGTAAGCAGCGCGCAGTAGCAGTTACAGACGATGCGGACGATCTTACTACCCAGCAAACATAAGAAAAAATATTCTCTAGTGTTTAATACAACCTTAATTCTGAAGTTGAATTTCGGAATCCCTTACCATTTGTTGAATTTTCCTAAATTATGTACAAAGTTTGAAACGGTGATTTCTATAATTTTAGTAAAACTTGGACGGTATTTTTATTAAAAAGCAACAAAAAAAATTTAGCTCGAAAAACATTACGAATATTTAGAAAAAAATCAACACGTGGTCATTTGTTTGAGTCACTGTGAGTGCTGCCAGAAAGTTGTAAATAATTTATCTACTTAAGAAAAAAGGATATAAAACTGCATAATAAAAATTTTCTAAAGATTCAGATTAAAAAGTCGAAATTTTGATGAACATTTTTTGAATATTCCTAATTTTTGTATAAAGTTTTAAACCTTGATTTATACGGTTTTGTGAAAACTTGGACGGCGTTTTTTAAAAAACATCAATAAAAATTTAGCTCGAAGAACATTACGAATATTTAAAAAAAAATAAAATCAACACGTGGTCACTTGTTTGAGTCAATCACTGTATATATATTTTACTTGCAAAAGGATTGATCTGTTTTAATGTTTAATAAAAAATGTTAAGTAGTGGAAATTTGTTTGAGGTTATGTGGAGGATTATCAATTTTTCAATTTGATAACTAAACAAATGTTCATGTAAAAAAGTGACTTTTATGTTGAGAACACCGTAATAGAAAGCTATTTAATATCAAATGCGTCTGAAGTTGATATCAAACAAAACGGTTTGCTGGGTAATGCAATCTTCAATTCAGGCATACAGGCGCAAAAGTGAGTATGGAAGTTCATATGTGCTTAAAACTACACTGTAAAAAATTAAAGGTGCAAAAGTTGAAGGAAAATCTACAGCTAAAGCAAATTTGCGTGTTCTACCCAGTTTTATTGGTTCAAGTTTCAGTTACTTGCACTAGAGCCGCCTGTCAATTTGGGTAAATACAAAAAAAATTCGCCTATGGCCCTTGTCTTTGGCCAGGTAAATATCCACAACAATTATAGACAGTTCCTTCTGCGCTTGGCCCTTTCATTGTGTCTGTCGGCTCTTTTGCTTTCGTTGTCCTTTCTTGGGAGCCGAGTGAATGATTTTTTCTCCTAAGCATCATCATCCATGCAAACGATTTGGCCAAGCCAGCGCAGTCATTGCCTTTGACTATGCCCATGCCATTATAAACCTCATAAAATTCTTTTTTACATCGCCTATGTGAACAGAGTCATAGATATTGCGCGGAACTGTTCTCTCTTCTATCGAAAACCCTAGATTCTGCATTATATAAAAGAGGGGTCGCATCAGAAAGGGCGGTCGACGAAGACGGAGTTTGCGGCAATTTGTTTATATAAAGTTGTTTCCATGATTTGCTGTCCTTTAAAACTCTAGCCAATGATACAATTGGCTTATCCAAAATCGCTCTGTTAAGCTGTACCATTGATCAGGCTCCAAAGGACATACATAAATTGTATATTGCATTAACTAGCGCGAACAGCAGAACCATCCATCATGTGCTTAACAGTTTTTGCATGCTTCTTACCATCTCTCAAACACTGGCCTTAGCAGCAACAAGATAATCCATGTCGATGTTTGCCCAACGGATCGAATGGAAGTCAAGAACCGCGCTGAATTTTTTTTGCTCCTCGATCAGAGCATATCCATGAGGCTCTATGGATTCAGGTACTACCAAATACTATGTTCCGCACATAGGTGATGTGGATCAGTCCTTTCCCATCGTCGGAGGTATTGGCGTACTGTGTACTGTATTCAAAAAATGTTACAAAGTTAAAAAATATGTGTTCAAAGGTATGGTGGGGCGTCGTCATTATGATATTTGGATCATGTTTTCCTTTCTATACCCGAACGCTCTTGTGCCCAAGGGTATTATAATTTTGTTCACAAAACACTTGTTTGTAACAGCCAAAATCAATCGAGATAGATATTAATAAATTTAAAGTATACATAAATGATAAGAATGAAAAAATAAATCGATCAAGCGGTGACAGTCTGTCCGTCACACGATAATTCGAATAAAAACCTTCGAATAATAACCTTTGTGTCAATACGAATTTTCCAAACGCCTTCCCAACACGAAACATACCCGGGTATCTACACGTAGTTTTTGCGTTTAGTAAGGACTGAAATTTAAATTTAGGGATTTTTATTGCTACTAGTGAGTTTTTATTCAACCTTCTATATATGTACATTCATATGTACAAACGAATATTATCGTTAATTTAATATTTGAAATACATAATATTATACACATTTTACATAGGTATTTAGAAGAATCCACTTTAAACAATTAGGTAACACGATCAACGGAAATAAGGCCAATTGACACTATTTCGCATAGATAATAGTGCCCCGCCACGCCCCGCTTGCGTTCGCCAAATATTTCTCGTATTCTAGCTCTTTTTGCGTTTGGTTTTTGCCATCGTGTTTTTATTATATTCGTAATTATAAATGTTTTAATAAAATCAATTGGTGGTGGTGGTTCATGGTCGTGTGTTGATGATTAATATCACACTGAGGATTTGGCAATAACCTATTTCATCAATGGAAGGAAAATACACTTATGGGGCAATGCTTATTTTAACAACATTCACATATCTCACGTACGATGCAAGAACATTTTTTTTAATCGACATACCTTAAGCATTGTTGACGCTATTTCCATTTGAATGAGGAAACAGCATAATTTACTTTATTTCCAAATTTTTGTTGACTTTATTTCGATTTTGAGAAGGTAGTCATGTCAATTGACTTTTTTTCGCACCAGTATGCGAAATAGTGTCAATTGACCTTATTTCCATTGACCTTGTTACCTGTCACCATATAGCTATATAATTTCATAAAGCTTATGCGAAGTCCCTCTTCTGGTTTTTTAACCCTGAGGGTGGATGGGTGTACAAACTTCTTATCCTCTGAATCTCCACCTTTCTTGATAACGATATGCAAAGGATGCACATCTATAAATGTCTCGAGATGCGCGGTAGGTGTTGGAGGTAAGTAAACATAACTTAACTTTTGAGTACAGTAATGGATTTTGCCATAAATATTTTACACATCTATGTATACGTGAGGCAACAAAGGATTGAGTCCGTCTGCAACGCAACATATTCGAGAGAACAACGGAATCAACAATATATAGCATCGAAAAATGACCAAAGGGGAAAGGGAAAGTAAATCAACGGGTGAGCTGTGCACACCTAATGAATCCACCGAAGCATTTATGTCTGCAACAATAACAAAAGACCCAACACATTCACGGTTCTTTGAAGTACTGAATAATATAGGCACTGAGACATTTGAAACAACACCCAGGCTTTCGACGGCCAGTCAGACTGATATACAAGTGTGCCTGCATGCACAATGTTTGTCTACTTTTACATATACATGTGCATTTGCATACGAACTGATTCGGTACTAGAGAATTTGGAATCATGACTAGTGCGCGCTAATTTTATTTTGCATGCCAGCAACAGGCGATTTTAACGTTGCGATGTCCCACGAATTGTTGATTGCCCCCACTGCATGTCTTTCTCGATAGTTCCGAACCAGTCCTAAATGGGATTTAGTTCGCTCTGTCTTCTTTCTTCTATAATACAGAACCAGTAGCTCGTTTCTGTAACAATTCTCTACCAAGGCGAATTGAGATATGAATTCGCCGCCCTGTTCTCTACTGCTAATTAGAAGGTGAGAGTGACGTATTTTATCTACCAGTAGAGAAATAATCGGTAGAGAAAAGTTACAGAAACGGGCTACAGTAGCTCGTTTCTGTAAGTCTTCTCTACCGATTCTTTCTCTACTGGTAGAGAATATACATATGTACGTCATTCTCTACTACTCATTAGCAGTAGAGAACAAGGCGGCGAATTCATATATGAATTCGCCTTGGTAGAGAATCGTTACACAAACGAGCTACAGTTCTAAATTTAACCGACGAAAAAAGTAACACAATTTTTTCAAACAGAGTTTTTTTGGGTTTCCATGGTAGCGATTTTAAATTATTTTCGAAGAAATGTCTTTTCATTTTGAAATCAAATTTGTTTGAATGTAATTACTGTTTTCGATAGTTACGACCATTGTGCATATATACAAGTGACAAATGTTCTTCTTCTGCCTGGAAACCGCCTGGAAAATACATAGAAATATCCTGTCAAAACGTAGAAGTAACCTGTCAAAATGTTAGACAGGGTGTTTAAAGGGATGTAGAAAAAGACTAAAGTTATTGAAATAGCCTTAAAAATTGGCCAAATATACATTGAATTAAATGAATTCGTATGTTTATATAGTAGTTTAATATATTAAAGCATTTTGGCCAATGACTCCTAAACTTAATAGAACTTTTCTTGCTGGTTTTGTCAGAGTCCGTTTAAAGTTTTTTTTTATATATATTGAGTGTAACCCTGTAGCACATAGAATCAGGTGATCTCAGCTGTGAGGCATATCGGGAAAACATCTGATTCTTTTTTCACTTGTAAGTATGCACAATGGTTACGAACTGATTATAAATTCGTCGCGTTAGTATAGATTTCTAATGAAAATGTTTTTTTTTATTCTTTATTCATTTTCTTTGACTATTTTGGGCTTAGCAAATTTGCGCATAACTGTACAGTAGACTGCATCACTCCCCATACAAAAAAAAATCGGTACTATTTTTCCATTGGAACTATAAAATCTATTATATTTTAAGACGTCCACCAAAATTTTTCGAAAAAA